TGGCAATATTTGTTTTGAGAAAAAGTTTTAAAAATCTATCGAAAAGTGAGTTTTACGAAAATTAAGGTTTTCAGACGATTTTCGCCCAATATTAACAAATTCACTATTCATTCAAAAAATATCAAAACGACTTAAAAACTTCAGGATACGATTAATGTTGTCCGCTAAGCGTGATTATGGTACCGAAGAGATGTAAAAGACACGTAACATTTTTAGTGTTAATATTAGGCGAAAACCGTCTGAAAACCGTCTGAAAACCTTTATTTTCGTAAAACTAGCTTTTTGATAGATTTTTAAAACTATTTCTCAAAACAAATATTTCCACAAGACTCAGTACGATCGATTATCCATAGTCCATCCATCTCCAAGGCTACCAATAGTCACAGAGTGTCAATGACCTAAACTTTTCACAAAATCATAGAGAATTCGCAATCGATCGTTACCTGGCCTTGCTGGTGACCTAAACTTGTCAGAAAATAACCGAGAATTCGCAAACGCATCATATACACTAATACGCCTTGTAATGAATTCCCAGCGAATGCGAATTCATTTTTTACATAATACAATTCTCGGCGAATGTGTATTTTGCAAGCTATGGATATTTGCTCAGTATGCGTAATCCGCGTATGGAGATGGAAACAGTTGGTTGTTGGTGTTTACTCTCAGACCGAGATTATTTATGCCATTTCTCGTTATGTAGCGTTAAAGCAGAGCACTGAGAGTTTCCGACTTCGCTTCCACATGCGGTTATGTTTACCAGGATACCCCAGACGGTGCTGATACTTGAGCTCAATTCCACAGCAAAAATTATGTGAATATCATAGTAAAATATTTAGAAAATAAGGAAGCGGATAGAACCCTGTAGCCCCATTGTCACAGCGTCCTAGTCTGCACGATGGATATAGATACATTCCTACTCATTCACTTCCAGTTTCTCAAATCTGGGTAATCCTCTAATACTGTTTCGCTACTCACTCTCATGCTGCCAGCCACCCTCCATCGCTCCCAGCTCTTCTAAGCTACCAAACATTCATGTACCTGCACATATCACACATCTCAAAACTCTCACACGTAGCACAAATATCTCAAATATCTTAAAAATCTCACATACACCAAATATCTCAATACGCGGATTACGCATACTAAGCAAATATCTCAAATATAACAGATATCCCAATATGCGTCTTACGCACACTGAGGAAGTATTTCATATATCTCGGTTATCTCGTTACGCACAGGACATAGATTAAGTAATTTTCATTACTTTGCTTATGAATGTCGTTACACAACGTGTGGATATTTGCGCATTAACGTTTGATTACACGGCGTAAGAGTATTAGAGCATCTCTGGCTATTTTTGACAGATAACTTCTTTCAATGCACAGACAATCGTTTTGTAAGTTTGTAGGCTAAGGTCAAGAGAATAGTCAAGGAAAAAATTGTTTTTTATGCAAAGGGTACTGAAAACGATGAGACTTACTGCAGTAGACACCCAGAAGAAAACCGATGGTAAATCAAGGTCCTAGAATCGATAACCCGACTGGTCAAGCTTATTCAGATTCAGCTCTGGCCCAATATACCTTACTTAACTTCAATCTTTAGGATTGTTGGAATGCGGGCGGTTCACATACAATTACTTAAAGCTTTGTTAATTTGAGTTTGAAGGACTATACTCCCCACAAGGTCGTACTTTTATGTTTTGTAATCACATGTGAAAACGAAAAAAATACAACAAGAATGAAACAAAATATATAAATCTAAAACCACACTGGTGGGTTTTCTTGTTGTATTACTTGCAAGATTCTTGTCTCCTGCCGTTTCGGACAAGAATCTTAAAATTTTTCTCAGTTTTTTGTTGATTTTTTAACTTTTTTTCAAAACAATTCTTGTCTAAAGTGAGAAGACTTATCAATAATGTAATCACCACTTTGCTTTGTAGATGTCTATGCTATATATAATGTAAATCACGTTTTATCAATTAAAAGTGCCTCAAGATATTTTATTATTCTAACAAGACTCTTGTCGAGAAACGATTAAAGTAGTGCTTTAATGTATGCCTGTGTTGATATGTGTACAGCCATGCTGCATACATAAAGAAAAACAAAACTGAAAATGATTGCTGAATTCTTTTGTACTACAAGATTCTTGAAATAAATATGCATGTAAACTATTTTACAAAATTCTTGTCTAAAATGGGAAGAGACAAGAATATTGCAAGAAATAGAACAAGAATATTGCAAGAAATAGAACAAGAAAGCAGATTAGTGGAGAGAAAAGGAAAAAGGATAGAATGATAACAGAAAAAGAAAATTGTTGCATACAACATTTACAACATGATGGTGATATATTTTAAATTTAAAACGAAAAAGAAATAGCTTCGTAATCACGCTATGCATATCAACAATATTCAAAAAACAGTATGGCTCTTGTGTAATTTGTTTATATGTTAAATGCGCCATTAAGGTATTCTTAATTGTAATACGATAATTATGTTATTTTCGTCTGTAATTTAAGTATAGCAAAAATATACTTAGTCTCGATAACTTTATCGATTCAATATACGACAAAGAACGTTCTAAAATTCTTACAGCGATACCGTCCCGACAGTTTCTATCAGAACAAAACGGTTGTGCTACTGATCGACCTGTTGTTGTTGTTTTTTACGTCTTTAGAACCGGAACTGTCATACTGAATTTTTTTCCAACTATTTTGACATTAATCAACTCTATAATCTTTTAATGGTAAATCGTAGAGAGCTCGATTAATTCTACAATTATAGTCCACATTCCACTTTTGTTTACAATCAACTAAAGATTGATAATTTCAACAGAACTAAACATGATAAGTTATCTTTAGAATAAGTTTATGTGAAGCTGGTTACAATATGCAAAAAGAGAAGAGAAAAATGAAGAGGTCTGTTAACACGACAATCATTGTAGTTATGGATAAGAGATGAGTAAGAAATATATAGACAAAGAGTGTGCATCTTCAGAGAGAAAGTAGCAAAAGGACAATTGTATTTATTCTAGATAGTTCAGAACGATGTCGAACATTATTAGTGATTATGAAAAGTCCAAACAACTGGGTCGCCCTGCCACCTTTAAGTATGCTAATATTATCAAAGAAAATAGTGATGGTGTCAATCAACTTATTCGTCAATTACAAAAATCAACGGCTTATGATGATATGCAAATGCTACTATTTTTATTGTTTATTACAAAGAATCAATCCTTTCTACAAACAATATTAAATGATGATAGTTACCCAGTAGGTATTCGATCATGTGCTGTAAAAGGATTTCTAAAATTAGAAACAAATGAACAGCAAACACAAATATTTATAATTAATATGGTGAATAATGAAAATATACCAAGATTGTAAGTACATAAGAAGGGTAAAGTCGCGTTTCGCCAATTCAACTTTCGTCAATAGATATTCGCCATCTTGACGATTGACGAATGTCTCGGTGACATTCGCCAGTAGTGATACCTCTTTCGCCAATAACTGTCCTCAGTATCCATTGGAGTGTGCATATGCGCGTTTTTCTGCTCCTAATATCAAGATTTATGGTACCTCAACTTTCACATGAGTGATTTTCAAAATTTAAATGTTTTTTTCTGGGAATAAATTATTCGGTGTTTGTGCCTCCTACCATTATATCGACATTCAGCACCAGCGGCAAGACTTATCTCATTTTGTAGAGTTCGACGAGCTGAATCGAATGACGAAAACTGCAGGTATAATGTTTGTTAGAAATAAAGTTATAGCTATTTTACACTCTCAGCGGAAAAGTGCATTTTTCGTCATTTTGCGGCGTATTTGGCTTAACTTGTAAAATATCTCCTGACCACATTCTCTAACGTAAAATCTTGAGTTTAATCTCACGAGGGAACATTCCCAGGTGATACTTTCCGATTTTGTTCGTTCATATGCCGATCGATAGGCCACATGGAGGTATGAAAAAGCCTAAGAGCGTTCGTGCGCAATCGCGTTCCTTCAAAAGTTA